AAAAAATGTTTTTTTAGCGTTTATTTATTTTTGAGAAAGAGACAGAGTGCGAGCTGGGGAGGGGCAGAGAGAGAGGGGGACACAGAATTTGAAGCAGGCTCCAGGCTCCGAGCTGTCAGCACAGAGCCAGATGTGGGGCTCAAACTCAAGAACCGTGAGATCATGACCTGAGGTGAAGTCAGACGCATAATCATCTGAGCCATCCAGGCAGCCCTAGAGCTTTAACATTTTGATATGCTTTCATCTGATAATTCTACTTCTAGGAATATATCTTACAAGAAAGAAATCCTGAAAAAACTTTTGTATACAAAGCTCTTTACCATAGCATTATATATATTAATAAGTAATCACAGCTTAAGTATATCTAACGTTAGAGACATGGTAAATAAATTATTAGCTAGCTACTTGATAAAATATGCAACCACTAGAAAGGACATTAAAACATTTTTCTTTAATGTTTATTTTTATAAGAGAGAAGACAGCATGAGCAGGGGAGAGGCAGAGAGAGGGAGACACAGAATCTGAAACAGGCCCCAGGCTCTGAGCTATAAGCACAGAGTTCGATGTGAGGCTTGAACTCATGAGCCGTGAGATCATGACCTGAACCGAAGTCAGACGCTTAACCGACTGAGCCACCCAGGCACCCCAGAAAGCTAGTTTATCAAGATTTTCATAATAAGATTAAATCATTGTTAGAATGTTAAGCAAGGGAAAGGAGGCTACATAATTCTCTATCCAAAATGATTTCAGCTGTGGGGAGAAACATATTAAAAAGACCAGGAATGTGTAAATCCCTGTATAATTTCTTTGTTCTTTTCCAGAATCAGATTGAGGCAGAACTGAATAAACATTGGCAGCGGCTCTTAGAGGGGCTGTCCTACTATAAACCTCCCAGGTATGGCTATTCCATGCGTCTGGCTAGAGTAATTCCACTGAGGAAGCTGGGGTAGAGAAACTCTTCCTGTACGATTTGGTGATGCTGCTGGGTTAGGTAGATTACAGAGAATACAAATTGGTTACCAGTGGAAAAGAGTCAGGCACATTTGTACTGTCTGTTGAAAGGGAAATTCCTTTTAGAAATACAACCTTGCCAAATGCAGTTATATAAGCCTAGTGCCTAGGGCTAGAGAGTCATTAACTCATCAGTGAATAGTTCTAATATTTATCTCGTTCCACCATGTTTGTGTGAAGTATTGTCAGCACGAAGTGCCGGGATAGGGCAGTGGACAGTGACAGTAGTAGCTGACCACTTAGGATGTTTATTAGGTACCAGCTATCACTCTTAGCACTTAGCAGTTCTTTAATCCTTATAACAGCTCTTTAAGATAGCTACTGTTTTTATTCTTTGCTTGAATATATAGTTTTTTTTTCCTCTGGGCAATGAAAAACAACAGCAATCAAATATAAATTAGTTTTAAAAAAGAAGAGAGTACACCTTGTAGGACTAGACTCTTGTACCTTAATTCCTAGTCCAGATTGCATTCTGTTATGCGTCGGAGTTCCCAGGCCACCCTCATTTCCTTTCTACTTCTGAACATCTGATTTTGTTTTTACATTACTTTCCATCTTCATTTTCTTGGGTTAGTGAAGAACTTTCTTTTTTTGTTGTTGTTCATTACCCCTTCCCCCATACTTATTTGAAGTAACTCCCAGACGTCGTGTTGTTTTATCTATAACTTCTGTGTGTCTAAAATATATGGACTTAAAAAAAAAAAAAAAAAGCTAATCACTATATTATCACCTATAGGTACTTTTATTATTATTGTTTCCATTTTACAGATGGGGAAACTGAGGCACAAAGAGGTTAAGTAACTTGCCCAAGGTCACACAGCTAGTAAGTGTAGAACCAGGATTTGAACCTGGCAGTCTTACTCCAGTGTCTGTGTTCTTAATCCTCATTCTGTGTTGCCTCTTTCAGAACTTACTGTTTAACCTTATAGTAGCCTTTGTGTTGTGGATTTCCTGTGAAATGTGAGAGTCTATAAAAAAATCAAATCCAACAACAACATGCTTGTAGTTCACAGAATGGGCATTTGTGGCATTACTTTCTTTTTTTAAAGACAAAAGTTTCTTTGTCAGTAGCATGAGATTTGAGGTCTGACAGACTTTTTTTTTTTTTTTTAAACGTCAGCCTTTATTTGAATTTAACTTTTTTTTTTCCTTTAATGTCTTTTTTTCTGTTCTAGGATCCAATTCAGGATCCCACGTTGCATTTAGTTGTCATGTCTCCTTAGCTCTTAGATGTGACAGCATCTCAGTCGTTCCTTAATTTTCATCATCTTGAATAGTTTTGAGGAGGACTGGTCAAGTATTTTGTAGAATGTCCTCAATTTGGATTTGTCTCATGTTTTTCTCATTATTAGATTGGAGTTGTGGGTTTTTGGGAAGAATGCACAGAAATGAAGTACCATTCTTATCATAACAGAGGATGTGGTAATCCACATGAAATCACTGGTGATGGTGATCTTGCTCATTTGGGCAAGGTAGTATTTGCCAAGTTTCTCTTCTGTCAAGTCATTGTTTTTCCTTTCCCTACTCTGTTTTAGAAGTGGGTCACTAAGCATAGCCCACTTTCTAGCTGGGGGTATAGTGGAATTAAATTCTACTTCCTGAAGGGAGTAGCATCTATATGTATTATTTGGACTTCTTCTCTAAGGAAGGTTTTTTCCTTCTCTGTATTAATTTATTTATTTACATGGGCACATGTATATTTATTTTATACTTTGTTTATACTTTGTTTTAGCTTTGGTCACTGGGAGTTCTTTCAGGTTGGCTTCTATGTAATCTTGACATTTTCCATCCTTTTTTTTCCTGAATTATTTTCTTATTTTCTGACATTACAAGATGCTCCAGCTGTAGAGTTAGCTGTTTCTCTAAGGAGTCTTGGTAACTTTTATTAGATAATGGTATGAGAAAAAAAAAGAAAAGATAATGGTATGAGAAACCAAGATCTGGGTGCTGGGTGTGCTCACTGCTACTGGGGTGCTATAGCTTCTAGGCCCTCTCAGCTAGGCAATATGTATTTGTATACTAACAGACCTGGTTTTAAATTTCACCTTCACTTTTTATTAGCTGTGGGATTTTTGGTAAGTTATTTATTCTTTCTGAGTATTAGTAATTCCACTTGTAAAATGGGGATAGTAATATCTACCTTTCAGGATAGTTGTAAGGATCAAGAATAATGCAACTTAATATATCCACATTTATTATTGTAACTGTAATTTGTAACAGACACTTAACTGTATTTATCATTTAGGCATAAGTAGTTCTGTGTTATAAAATGTGTAGAGATGAAGTTGTGGTTGTGTGTATATTTTGTAGGCACCTAAAGGGCAAGAAAAGGTCTGTTGTAAACATATCTTTAAGCATTTTTGTTTAAAATCCTGAGAGGGTCATTGAGAATGAGGAAATGATTCATTGTTCTTTTCATAGTCCAAATTCAGCTGAAAAAGTGAAAGCTAATAAAGATGTGGCTTCACCATTGAAGGAACTGGGTTTAAGAATCAGCAAGTTTTTGGTGAGTAAAAATTAGCACTGGCTCAGTTTACTACCTGCACTGCAGATGTCCATTGTTTTGTTGTTAGTGATTGTTAGTGAAAATTCAGTGTATTTCTGTTTTGGAGATTAAATTGAGCATACTGTGTTTCAAATATATTCAAGTTGCAACTCTTCTTGCTAAAAAGCTACAAATTAAGTTGCCAGACCTGTTTACTATATGTATATGTTTACCATATGTGTATATGTTTACTATACACACACACACACACACACACACACACACACACACGCACACGCACATGCATGCACGCACTGGAGTTTTCTTCAGCATGCGTGTGGTGATCCTTAAATTGACTAGATTGTATTTAAAATTTTTTTTAATGTTTCTTTTTATTTTTGAGACAGAGACAGAGCATGAGTGGGGGAGGGGCAGAGAGAGAGGGAGACACAGATTCCGAAGCAGGCTCCAGGCTCTGAGCTGTCAGCACAGAGCCTGATGTGGGGTTCAAACTCACGGGCTGTGAGATCATGACCTGAGCTGAAGTCGGTTGCTTAACTGAATGAGCCACCCAGGCACCCTGAGATTGTATTTAAATATGTAGCTGTTTCTTTTTATTTTCTTTCTTTTTTTAATGTTTACTTTTGAGACAGAGAGCGTGTGGGGGAGGGGCAGAGAGAAAGAGGGAGACAGAATCTGCACGGGCTGCACGCTGTCAGCACAACGCCAGGGCTCAAACCCACGAACTGTGAGGTGGTGACCTGAGCCCAAGTTGAAAGCTCACTTGACTCAGCTACCCAGGCACCCCTCTTTTTTTATTTTGGAAACGCAGATCATGCCTGCTACTGTATTAACTGTTTGGTAGATATGCACAATTGTTTTTGATGTTGCAAATTTGATCGTCATGTAAATTACATGTCAGTCACTGGCTTCTTTTTCTTCTATTTGGGGTAAATTTATATCTTTTATGAAATCTTTTAAAAGGATTTTTGTTTAGGTATTTTGCCCATAGCACCATTTACAGTGTTTTTCAGTTATGTGTCTTTTACCACTGATTGACAACTTGGCTGCTTAAATATAGCATTATATTTGAAACATGATTTTTAAAAACCTAGTCTAAAATAGATCAAAACATTAGGTGTACATTGTTTTACAACCAGTATCTGTAAGCTGAGAAGCAGTACTGATGTGTCCAGTGTCAGGAGGAGTGATTAAACCTGTTGCTATTTATGCCCACCATTCACACAGCCCTCTACCTGTTTCATCTATTTGTATATTTTCTGAATACTCTTGATAGATTTCAAACTAGTAGTGGGCAATCACTGTCTCTTCCCTAGTGTGCTCATTATAATAAATGAGCCATTATAATACTTACAGATATAAAACATGAAGCTCTCAAACACATTCCTCCTTGAGACTGACGGCTTGAGGGAGGAGGTGGAGAGAAGAGAGAGGAAATGAGGTTTCTGTGATTTCTTCAGTCTCTTTTCCCTTCCTCTTTTCCTCATCTATCAATCACAGACCTATCTCCGTGCTTGTTGAGTGACCTGTGCACATTCAAGCAGTATTCTGTCACGGAAATCCCTGTCTGGTAACACACCCCCACATTTCAACTTTTTACCAAATTTCACCAAACACTTGGACTATTTCATTTTTGTCAGCTCACCATTGATAACAGAGTATAGGTTATTCTGTCCTTGTGACTAAATAAATAACTAACCAAAATTCTGTTGACCTGAAGTAGTTTTCATTGGGGCAGTACCTGGTTGTCGTTCATCTGAGAGGGAGACATATCATGCCTTTGGAAGCAGGAATGTCTGCCTGTACTTCAGTTTCCACAACTTGCTCCAAAGGAGCAAGGAGCAAGGAGCAAGGATTTACTATGAACCTGGGCCTCTCTTCTCACCCCGACAGCATGTGCATCAATACCTGAGTTTATTCTGTGTTAAAAAAAAAAAAAAAAGCTTTTTATTTATTCAAGTTCTAGAGGATATTTATTCATTCTAGAGGATAAGCCTTTAGGACGTCGTGCATCCTTTGTGTGTTTTCTGAGCTGACGTGGCTGTTCCTCACTTACGGCCTCTGTATTTCAGGGTCTTGATGAAGAACAGAGTGTGCAGTTGCTCCAGTGTTACCTTCAAGAGGATTATAGAGGTACTCGGGACTCACTAAAGGTTTGTAGTTATGCCCAGCTGCTTTCTCCTGCCTTTGTCCTTTTCCTTGGTGTTAGGTGTTGAAGGGTTTTGGTAGTGGTTCTTTGCAGCAGGTAGGTGGTCAGATACAGTCATTCTCAGGAAAGACTTTCTAAAGGCTTAAAAAGCATGTACTTCAACTAAGGTCTGTTGTCAGACTTGGGGGGGTGGTGCCGGAGAAGTCAAAGATTGACATGTTAATCATAGAGTCTCAGGACATCAGAGCTGAGAACCACCTGGTACGGTATCTCGCCTCTCTAACCCAACATTCTACATATGAGGAAGTGGAGTCGAGGGGAGGGGGCGGGGATTTGAGTACACATTTGGATACGTGTAGGTAAAAAATGTGTCCAGAAATGAATGGGCAGTTATAATCTTGAAGGGTGAGGTGAAGATGTTTATCTTTTTCTTTGTTAATTGAGCTTTGCTTATACGATGGCTTCTTGACTTCTTTTTTCCTTCAGACGGTACTGCAAGACGAGAGGCAGAGCCAGGCCTTAATCCTGAAGGTTAGTAGTAGTCACTGTTTTCATTCTTTGATGTGAAATTGGGTGATGGCTTCTTGACCTTGTTCTCCTGGGCATTGCTGGCTTTTGAGTGTTTTGTTGGGGAAGCATTGAGGCCTCAGTGAAGTAGCTTAGTAACTCACTGTGAAACAAGAGGCTTTTATCCACTGGACCCAGCTGAGACCTTTTCCAAAGGAGATTCTTTGGTTACTGGGGATGAAAACTGGTTCATGCGTAGTTTTCCTCTCAGTCTAAATGCAAGAATATTAATTTATATTTTTTTATTCCTTTATCTCCTCCTACCCCCCAAATCAACCTTCACATTGAGGATGTCATATAAAGTGGAATTTGACTGTGACTTCTGAAGTGGTTTCCTGTTTTTGGTGTTTATTGAGAATAAGTACATTAGTAACAAGCAGTTAGGACATATACGAGGGTTATTTTTATATTTGTTTTCATTTATTTGGCCTGTCAGTTACAGCATTGTGTGTTATTTGAAAGCTCTGAGAAGTCATGCTAGAAAACTTGTTTATATTTTTATAGAATTTCTTTTATCTTGAGGGACTTGACTTTTATCCTATTTCATGAAGTTCTTTTGCTTTCTTTTGGCCTAACACAAACTTTCGATTTCTGTGATTGCTTGTAGAAGTCAGACTTTTCCATTCATATCTTTTTTTTTTTTTTTTTTTTTTTTTTTTTTTTTTTTTTTTTTAGTGTTTATTCATTTTTGAGACAGAGGGAGACAGCATGAGTGGGGGAGGGGCAGAGAGAGAGGGAGACACAGAATCTGAAGCAGGCTCCAGGCTCTGAGCTGCCCGTCACAGAGCCCGACGCGGGGCTCAAACTCACGAACCACGAGATCATGACCTGAGTGAAGTGGTCGGATGCTTAACCGACTGAGCCACCCAGGCGCCCCTTCCATTCATATCTTTAAGTGATCTTCTTATCAATAAATTTAAAATTGAGTGTCTTCTGTGTAAAGGTCAGCAAATGATTTTGCATCTTTGGGTTCTTCCCAGATTGCAGATTATTACTATGAAGAAAGAACCTGTATTCTTCGTTGTGTCTTACACCTTCTCACTTATTTCCAAGATGAAAGACACCCCTATAGGGTAAGCCCATTTAGTCCTCTTGGTTTTTCTTTATCCTATAAAATTCAATACTTTTATTTTTTCATTATTTATTTATTAATTATTATTTTTTAATGCTTATTTATTTTTGAGAGAAACAGAGACAGAGTGTGAGCAAGGGAGGGGCAGAGAGAAAGGGTGACAGAATCTGAAGTAGGCTCCAGGCTCTGAGCTGTCAGCACAGAGCCTGATGTGGAGCTTGAACCCATGGGCCATGAGATCGTGACCTGAGCTGAAGTCGGACGCTTAACTGAGCCACCCAGGCGCCCCTAAAATTCAATACTTTTGAAAAACGTTATATTATTCATATTCGCATTCATTTGAATATTAACCTTTTACTGTAGGTATAAGTTACTCTGAGGGTTTGTTTTTTTTTAAGGTTGAATATGCAGACTGTGTTGATAAATTGGAGAAGGAACTAGTCACAAAATACAGACAGCAGTTCGAAGAGCTTTATAAAACTGAAGCACCAACTTGGGAGACACATGGAAACCTCATGGTATGTGGTTACTGGGCCTTCCTGTAACTCTTATAAGAATGGTAAACCCTTGTGTATAGAGCTCTAAGTTAAATTATTCATTTATTAACTTATAACATTTATAGATTATCTTTCTTCCAAAAAGTTTAAATATGTCATGGATCAAAATATTGATGACTCTAAGTAATGGTACTTAATTCTGGGCATTTTCACTTGACTTTGTCTATTCAGTTAATTTACTTTCTGTTCTTACCTAAAATCTTCCCTTAGTTGTTAATGGAACTCTAAATTCAAGATTTCATCCTCTTTATTATCATTATCTGTTAAGTATGTGACACTAGTCTATTTTATCCTAAATCATAAAGCATTTATAAATTAGAACATGAGGGGCGCCTGGGTGGCGCAGTCGGTTAAACGTCCGACTTCAGCCAGGTCACGATCTCGCGGTCCGTGAGTTCGAGCCCTGCGTCAGGCTCTGGGCTGATGGCTCGGAGCCTGGAGCCTGTTTCCGATTCTGTGTCTCCCTCTCTCTCTGCCCCTCCCCCGTTCATGCTCTGTCTCTCTCTGTCCCAAAAATAAATAAAAACGTTGAAAAAAAAAATTAAAAAAAAAAAATTAATTAGAACATGATCTTTTTTGTTTTGAAAATAATACATGGTTATTAAAACAACGTAACCAAAACATGGATAGTAACTATTGAAAATATTTAATAGTGGTAAAGGGCCCATTTACAATAGCCATAAAAGCATAAATTTCTCAGGAATAAGCATGCAGCCATCCAAAATCTAACTGAAGAGAACTTTAAAATTCTGTAAAGGGTATAAAAAAGTCATAACTGAATGGAGAAACACACTGCATTCTTGAATATAAAGACAGCACCATAAAGTGTCAGTTTTTCTTATATAAACCTATAATTTTATTTATTTTTAATATTTAAAAATGTTTTTGAGAGCACACATGAATGGGGGAGGGGCAGAGACAGAGAGGGAGACAGAATCTGAAGCAGGCTCCAGGCTCTGAGCTGTCAGCACGGAGTCCGACATGGGGCTTGAACTCATGAGCTGTGAAATCATGACCTGAGCTGATGTCGGACGCTTAACTGACTGAGCCACCCAGGCACCCCAACCTATAAATTTAGTGTAATCCCTACAAACAAACAAACAAACAAACAAACAAATACAAATAAGTGTTTGTTTTGCCTTTTATTTTGGAACTGAACGAGCTGATTCTAAAAGTCATATGAAAAATAAGAATAGTCAGGAAATTTTTGAAAAAGGAAAATTACTTTTATTAGATAATTACCATTACAGTAATTTAAAGCATGGCATTGACATATGAATAAATAGACTTATAAATAGAGCATAATAGAACATCTGGCTATAGACCCAAATGCTGAGTTAGCATATGATAAAGGTGGCATTTCAATCAGTGGGAAACGTTGTATTTTTCAATAAATGGTGTTGAACTACCGGATAGCCTTGGGGAGGAAAAATAAACTCTATCTTCTATCTTCTACCAAAAGAAAATCACGTAGATGATTTAAATTGAAAAAAAATATATACATATTAAATTGAAAAAAAAACTATAGGGGTGCCTGGCTGGCTCAGTTGGTGGAACATGTGAATCTTGCTCGGGGTCATGAGTTCGAGCCCCACATTGGGCATATAGTTTACTTTAAAAAAAAATTAACTGTAAACGTATTAGAAAGAAAACATGGGAGGTGGGTTTTGTTCTCGTGTTTTGTTTTGGAGTGGAGAAGACTTTTTAAAGTAAAATTCAGGGGCGCCTGGGTGGCGCAGTCGGTTAAGCGTCCGACTTCAGCCAGGTCACAATCTCGCGCTCCGTGAGTTCGAGCCCCGCGTCGGGCTCTGGGCTGATGGCTCAGAGCCTGGAGCCTGTTTCCGATTCTGTGTCTCCCTCTCTCTCTGCCCCTCCCCCGTTCATGCTCTGTCTCTCTCTGTCCCAAAAATAAATAAATGTTGAAAAAAAAAAAAATTTAAAGGAAAATTCAGAAGCCATAAAAGAAAAATAATTATAAACATCAAATCAAAAACTTGCAAGGCAGAAAAGTCAAAAACAAAAATAGCGCAGTAAACAAAGTCAAGACAAATTCATATTGGGTTCTTAAAATAGAAAGAACTCTAAATCACTAACACTCAATAGAAAAACAGGGCAAGGCAATGAACAAATTCATGTGGCAACACTCTTGCCCATGGGATGGGATAATGGGTGCTCATATTTTGCTGTATAAACAGTCCTTTTTTAATGGAAAATATTATGAAAATACTTAAAAATTGAAAGGCACATATTTCTTGACCTAGCAGTTCTAGTTTTTTTTTTTTTTTCTTTAATGTTTATTTTTGAGAGAGAGAGAGAGCGAGCAGGGGAGGGGCAGAGAGAGAGGGAGACAGGATCTGAAGCAGGCTCCATGCTGACAGCAGAGAGCTTGATGCATGGCTTAAACTCACAAGCCATGGGATCGTGACCTGAGCCGAAGTTGGATGCTTAACCAACTGAGCCACCCAGGTGCCCCTTAGCAGTTCCAGTTTAAGAGTTTATCCTATAAATACATCCATACGTGTGTGAAACGACTTGTGTAATGACAAATTGGTAGCATTCCCCACCCCCCAGCTTTATTCAGGTATAATTTCCATCCAATAAAATTCACTGATTTTAAGTGTATGGTTTTGACAGTTGTATGTAGTTGTATGCATGTCAGTATATCGAATATTTCTGTCTCCTCTAGAAAGTTTATGGTCACTCTGTGACCTCTGGCCCCAGACAACTACTAATCTGCTTTCCGTTACTATAGTTTTTTGTTTTTTGTTTTTAAACATTTATAGGTGTCACTGTTAATATAATTTTGCCTTTTCTAGAGTTTCATGTAAATAGAAACATATAATATATACAGAGTCTTTTCTGTTTGGCTTCTTTCACTAGCATACTGTTTTTGAGATTTATCCAGGTCATATTCATGTAATAATACTTCATTCCTACTTGTGGTTGAATGTTATTTCATTATATGGATATATACCACATTTTGTTTATCCATTTATCATTTGGTACATATTTGAGTTCTGTTTTTTGGCAGTAATGAGTAATGTGCAGTGAACATTAACATGCAGGTCTTTTTATGGATAGGACGTAGGTTTTCATTTCTCTTGGATAAATAAATATCTGGGAGTTGGGTTGTTGGGTCACATTGTAAGTGTGTATTTTTATCTTTATAAGGTATTGACAAACTGCTTTCCATAGGGTCTGTACCATTTTCCGTTCTTTTTTTTTTTTTTTTTTTTTTTTTTTTTTTAAGTTTTAAAAGTTATTTTGAGAGAGAGTGAGCATGTGTGTGCAAGCAGGGGAGGGGCAGAGAGAGAGGGAGAGAGGGAACCCCAGGTAGGCTCCATGTAGGCAGCACAGAGCCCGATGCGGGGCTCCATCTCACAAACTGTGAGATCATGGTCTGAGTTGGAATCAAGAGGTGGACACTTAACCGGCTGAGCTACCCAGGCGCTGCTACCATTTTCCATTTGTCACAGCATTTTTGAGAACTCATTCTCTTCCATATCTACACCAACACTTGGTAAGGTCATTGATTTTAATTTAATTTAATTTAATTTAATTTAATTTAATTTAATTAATTACTATTTTACTAAGCTTCAAATTATTGTCAAATTGGTTTCCATACAACATCCATATATCATCCAACAGGTGCCACTCCTCAATACCACATCACCCATCTCTCTCCCTCCACCCCCATCAGCCCTCAGTTTGTTCTCAGTTTTTTAAAGTCTCTTATGCTTTGGCTCTCTGATTTTTTAATTTTAAACATATCTAATAGATGTGTAGTCAGTATCATTGTGGTTTTTTTAATTTTGTGTTTCCCACATGACTAGTGATGTTGAAGCATCTTTTTACATGCTTATTTGCCCTATTTTTTGATGTTTATCCAATCTTTGCTACCATGGTCTTACTGGGTTATTTGTCTTACTGAATTTTAAGAGTTCTTGGGGTGCCTGGGTAACTCCAATTCCGGTTGTGCGGCGTCGACTTTAAAGCTCAGTCGATCTCGCATGGGTCCGTGGTTTGAGCCCTGCATGAATACTGGGCTGATAATGAGCTCGAGCCCTATGGAGCCTGCTTGCCTCGATTCTGTGTCTCCCTCTCTCTCCTGCCCTCCCGTTCTTCACTCTGTCTCTCTGTCCCAAAAAATAAATGGGGTGAAAAAAAAAAAAAAAAGAGTTCTCAATGTAGGGAAGCCCAGGTGGCTCAGTCAGTTAGGCTGACTTTCGGATTCGAGTCATGATCTCCTTGATTCATGGGTTGAGCCCCGGTTCTGTGCGTAAACTCAGAGCCTGGAGCCTGCCCAGAATCTCTGTGTCTGCCTCTCTTTGCCCTCCCCTGCTTATGCTCACTGGCTTTCTCTCAAAATAAATAAATAAATAAACATAAAGTTCGATGTATTCTGAAGACAAGCCATTTGACAAGATAAATCTTTTTACAAGTATTTTTCTCTCCTTTATATAGCTTTCTTTTCTTTTTCTTTTTTCCTTTTTTTTTTTTCCACTAAACTGTCTTAAGACCAAAACTTAAATTTTGATAAAATCTGTTTTTTATCAGTCTCTTTCTCTTCAGATTCTTGCCATTTTGGGCCTTGTTTCGACTCTTGGAGGCACTTGGGTGGCTCAGTCAGCTGGCGTCTGACTGCCTCTTGGTTTCAGCTCAGGTCATGATCTCACGGTTTGTGAGACCCCAAGTAAGGGCTGAGTGCTGATAATAGAAGAGAATAGCGAGGATTCTCTCTCTTCTCTTTCTCTCTCTCTCTTAAATAAACTTAAAAAAACAATCTTTGTAACCTAATGTCATTTTATTGTTTCTTTTAAAGAGTATGTATATTTTCCAGCACATTTATTTACTTCAGTAATTACCTTTTAGTTAATTTAGTGGTATTGAGGTAAAGGGATGGGATTAATTTTTCCTCCATACAGAGATCTTCTCCCAGTGCCATTTATTGAAAAGACTTG